TACCCAATATACCTACAAGAGCTATTATTGACTGGTGAATATGCAAGCAGGGAATTTAAATAAATTAAATAAATTTTATATATTATATCATTTTCATACTATTTACATAAATATAATTAAGTTCTTTTTGTGATATTAATTACAAATATAATTTTATAAGTTGAAGGCAGATTATTATGGCAGGTTTTAGGTTCTACATATTTGGGGATGGGGAAAAAAGCCTACTGTGTTCAAAATTCATTTATTTCCCCAAAATAAAAAGCAACACTTAAATATTTATCTCTAAAGTTGGAATGACTGTTTATTATAGTAGCACTGGGTTATCATGTGTTAGTAATTATTTACCCATCATATTCTTTCTGCATACTTGATTCTATACAGCATCAGTTTTCTCTGAAAAACAAGATGACTTCTTGTTTCATTTGCCCTTCAGGTTGAATAGTGGAGGTGGTGGAACATGATTGTTCCCTCTGAAGGGCAATGGTCAGAGGCATCGGGGCTGCTTTCTGAGACAATAGCCTTTGCTTAGGCTAACTCTGAATACAGAGTGTTTAACCTTTTCATAATTCTTCCTCCCCCAAAGAAGCAAGTGCTGCTGGGAACCTTTGCTGAAGTCAATAGAGGAGAATCTATAGCTCCACAGATCAGCCAGAGGGAAGGTTTTCTAAGAGTAACAAATCTTTTCTGTTGCAACATGCTTTTCCTAGAAGCTTTTTGTCATTCTGGCAGTAAACTGTTTTCTACTTGCTGCCTTAGCAACAAGACCTGAAGTCACTTCCCTTCCAGTGTATGGTTTGATTATAAGAACACTAACATTGTACCTAGAACTGGAAGAAACCATCATACTGGGGAAACCTGCAGACATTACCTGCCTTTTAGGTTAGAGAATTACTTATGTACATTCCTCATATCCCCTTGAAAGGAAAAGTCAAATAGGAAGTCTTGGAAATGGTGAATCCAAATCCCACATGGTCCCAAGTTCTTCTTAAATGCTGTAGCTACAGTTTTTGTAACGTGCCTGCATCTGGCTACAGCAAAGAACAGTTTTTCTCCTTAGCGTTCTCTATGGCTACCTCAGAGGAAGAGCCAAAATGTTAGGGATCTCTTCTCGTGCACCAGTCTTAGGCTAACTCTAGTTTTCTCAAGAGTCTTTGTTTAACCCAAGGATATGAAGTTCACTTTGAGAATAAAACTTTGTTTACCAAAGAATAGAATTCTGATGAATTTTGGCTTTAGTGACCCCTTGAGAGCTCATTTAACTATTTCTTACTGAATTCAATTTTATCTTGTAGTAGAACCTGCTCAGTCAGTACAGAAGTTAGGTAATCATATAACTAGAGGCAGAGGTTAAGGATTAATTTTAACCACAAGTAGGCTTGTGCTCCACCAGAACCAAAGACTAGAGAATACCAAGGGGTTTAAAGTGGGAATGTACAAGTTGCTGTTTTTCTCTATTTTCTTTAGCATGTTAAAGTTGTAATGTCTAAAGTGTGTGACTTAGAAATTAAATCTGGTAGCATCCTGACAGGAAATAATGGAAAGATAGGTTAAGAATAGGAATTTGTACCTTCTTAGAGCAGGCAGAGAATGCAGTGAAATCTCCAAAGCAAAGTTCCTCTAGGTCACACTATTATGATGTCTCTCTGTTGAGAAATACTGTTTTTCTAAACTTCCAGGGTTTTCACAAAAAAAGAAACTCTTCTATGGGTATGGGAAGCTAGACCTAATGTGGGCAAAAGATCCTTCCCTTGCCTCCTCATGCATAGCTGAGTCAGGTCAAGAACATTTTAAATAGCCTTTTCTAAAGACGAGGGACATTGAGCCAGGTAATATGCACTTGGAACATAGCTTTTTACTGTAGTCCATAGTACCTGTACTGTGCTGTCCTAAAAGAAAAGACGAGGCCCTGCCCTGGGCCTGCCTCCTTATAGATGGGCTATTTTAATGTCCACAGTTAGGAATACTCTCCCAGATAATCAGTTTTCTCCAAGTAGAAACCAGGAAATTCTGTATCCAACAATCTACTCTTTGAATTTCTATTTAAAGATATCCTACTCTGCCAAGCACTGCATTAGACACTTTATATTTATCTCATTTAAATATCCTGTAAGATTTGTATTACTGACCTCATTTTATAGAGAAGGAAATTAAGGTCCAGAATGTTTAAAACATTTTTTTTCCCAAAGTGACATAGCTAACTAAGTGATGGGGATGAGCTACAAACCTGGTTCTGTTCGATGCTAAAGCACATTCTTCAAAACTCTAGAGTACCTTTCAATTTTAGAGTGTTTTCCTTAGAGATTTTAGATTTCCTTTTATTAAAGAAGATAGAATATCTTCAACCACAATATTGTAGCTCCTAGAAACTTCTGCATTGAAGCCTGTTCTGAACTGTGTTCAGGATCCAGTCTTTGTCAGTGACTAGAAGGCAGCTGCCATAGGGAAGGGAAGAGAGTATTGAAAACAGACGGTTACACTGGGGCTCATGTGGACAGCATTCGTCCTCATAAGAAACGGCCAATCTGTTGCATATCTGCCTTCCTCAGCACTGTTTAAGTTTTAATTATCTTCCAACTGTCTGAGCTGCTGTTGAGGACCTGAGAGAGAACAAAGGATAGCTGTTGTATTTTTCCGCAGTGTTCCTCTCTGAACCCTGATGGAGTCACTAGTCGTCACTGCCCTTATTATCAGGTTAAATCTGAACCTGATTTTACAGTGGAGAGAGGATGGCGAAAAGAAAAAAATGAAGCTTAAATTTTGCCTTTTTTTCAAAATATTTTGTGACAAATAAATGTAGTATTCTCCTGTTTAGGTGTTATGACCCAGAAGCAAATTTTGCTCTGGTTTTCAAAAAAAAGTAAAAAGTAGAGGACTCTCTCCATCCCCATCCCTTAGACGTTCAATATCTTAGGTAGTAATCACTTTTCTTCTACCTTGGGGAGGCTCCATTGTGAGCATCATTAAGGAAATCTGCTCATGATCAAAGATGATGTCTGTGCTGCCTACCTCTCCCTCCAGGCGTTGCTCATGGATCTGGGCACTCCTCTGCTTGGGTGGCACAGGGCCTCTAAGTGCTCACTGTAGAGCTTCAGGCTGCCCTGTCAGTCACCCGAAGTTGGGGGATGAGTCAAGGCCTATTTGGTAATTCTAGTTGAGATTTTTGGTAAAGTACAGAGTCCTAG